AAAACTCTCTCCAATACATGATGGCAGGACCATTTGATGCTCCTCTTGTGGTACTGCATCTCTACACAGAGGCTACTTTGCCAATAGGTCTCATTTTAAAGGCTGATAGAATTTGAGAGGCTACGGATTTCGGCGAGAAAATACTGTTGACCAAGGGTATAGTGCTTGGCTCCAAAACACATGAATAGAAATATAACAAAATGAGGCACGGGAGCAGAGAGTTGCATTTTACATGGATTTAACTGCTGGCCAACTCGCTGTTTGTATGGGCACCTACTGCTATGGAGAAAAACTACTAATATCCTTCAACTCCAGACATGACTTCATATCCTAAGGCATGCGCCATCTAACCGTACCTTTCAAAGCCAGAATGATCACTCGTGCTCTCACAGACCCCCAAAAAAAGCCACAGCCACCCCGAAACTTCTGTCCACAACTGGTTTGGCCCTGAAGACCACAGGCTGGGTCATGGAACCAGAACAAAGAGAACATAACATAGCAGAAAGTTCATGAGCTCTGGCTGTGCAGGAGAAGCAATGCTTCAGTGCTGCCAGTTACGAGAAAGTCATCCAGATTGATTCATTCACATTCATCAGTTTTTGTTACCATTCCTGATGGGGCTTGTTGAGTACATACACTTCATTTTTATTGCTACTGGCAGTGATGTGACCCTCTGCACTTCATTTATCAGGGCTACAGAGAGTTTGTCCTCCATGTTGCCCAAGGAACCAGAATAGACTTTCATCTTCATCCACTCAAAGCAAAGAGGGGAGAATAGGTGTCTTGAACTGACCCTTAAAAAGTCCCCATGTTAGTTTTTACTTCACAAATGCTCAACTTGCACTTAGCAGGTACTTTGTCTTCACCTCTGTGCTTTACATGTTTTTAAGAACAGCACTAGTACAAAGAATTAATTAAGGACCAATTAATTGTGAGACAGCAATGCTGACGTGTTGCGTTCACGCAAGCATCTCTCTGATTGTTGCAGACTTTCCTGCTCAGTAAAAAACTCACCAGAGTCTTGGTACAGGAGTCTCAAAAAGGACAAGCAATCAGAGGGAATTCCCTTTATTCTACAGACTTTTTATTTTCTTTTCTCCAGTTGGTCAGTACAATGTCACAGACAACTCAGATAAAAGATGTAATAGCCCAGCTATCGACCTTTACTGAAATTACCTTTTTTTCTTTCTTTCTTTTTTTTTTCTCTCAAGTACAGCTAAGAGAGGAATCTATGAAATCTACCAGAGCTGAACTGCAATAGAACAGGCAAGCTACAGTTCTGCCTCACCACTTGAAGCACAGACACAAAAAAAGTACTATGAGATGGAGTAACATGAAAATATTGTCATGCCTGTCATGTAGTGGTAACTCTAAAAGTTGGGGAGCTACAGAGAGAGGATGCCCAATTTTAGAAGGCCGCTCCAGTGTAAGATACATCTGGTAAAGTGGACAGAGACTGCATGGGTCATAGAGTTCCAATTTTAAGCTTTTATGTTGTAGGTTAAAAAACTGCAAGCTGCAGTGGGGAATATGCATCACTGAACACAAAACCACAGGCAACAGAAAACTAAGAACACGTATGTGCTTGACCTCAGCACTGCTGCCTGTAAGTTGTTCTCAAACCAACAAAAACATTTCAGTGGCTGGAAAAGATGAACAGACCTGGTTGCCAAGTCATGGCCTGAACTATTCCAGGGGCAGAAAAGACAGCCGGACTGCTGGTAAAGAACAAGGCTATTTAAGGAGAGTCATTCTGGCCTAATGGAAAATGCAAGGATATAATTATCAATTATTTTAAACTAAAACAACATTTCAGATCCAGGAAAAAAAATCACAAGGAAGCACAAGAAAGAAGCTGGTTAGATTCAGCTGGCAGCTCAATCCAGGTACAAAAAGAGCAGAATGTACTGCACTTTAGAAGTGAGGAAAAGAGATGTTTTCCACAAGATGGTGATTCTGGACAGTGCTTCAACCTACAAAGAAAATTCGGAATGCAGCTGCACTGTTCCAGGCACTGACACAAAGCTGACCTGATCACAGGAGCTTGGGTTATCGCAAAGCGGCCACAAAAGCAGTCAGAGGAACTGAGCTAAAGAAATTATGTTTAAATATATGGCCATATGTTTGTATCTCTAAGTCATACTGATGATTCACTTTCTCTTTCAGCCCTCTGAGCAGCTGCTCCTTGTGTGGTGCACAGTGTTCCATATTAAGAATTCCTATGCAAAATTCTGGCTGTCACCCAGAATGCATGTTACAGAGCAAACACACAAAGCCAAATAAACACCACTCCTAGAGTCTCTGTGAGAAGGGCCCAATACACAACTATCAAGGGGAACTCAGAGCTGAAATCTCCTGGAGAGGTAAAGCTCTTGAGCACAACCATCAAGTGCAGCCTTGTCTGCTGAAAAAACCCACCATTACTGAACTTCTCACCATTCTTTTACCACTGCCTTAGTGAGCTTGTGAACAGCCTCAGGCTTCTGAATGGCTGCCCCATCAGATGCGCAGAAGTCATAACAGCATTTAACATGATTTTTAATGAAGGAGGGCAGCAGAATATTTTTTATTTAACAGGAATGCTCTGTTCAGAGCACAATTCCTATTACAAAAAAGGGCCAAAACTTTGCTTTAGAATTCAGTCAAAAGTGCAAGTTTAAAAGAATTCTCAACATATTTTTGTCCTGTTTCTTAGCATTTCCGCTGCCTGCCGTTACGTATTACAGCATACAGCTCTATAAATACATGTGACAGCCCAATAGTTGAATGTCACTTTTACAAGAACATTCCCCAGGACTTCCCAAAATTAACAACTTTAAACAGCTTTTGTAATTCCTATTCAGGACTGAAGCAGATTAAACCTTTTGGAGATTTAAATACACGTGCACCAAAGAGTATCTTGTTTACACAGTGTTACAATCTGCACTGCAAAGCTGTGAGCCAACTGTGGTGCTTATTCACATCACAGAATATATTACTTTCTGGCTTCTAACAAACCAACAGTACTTGATTTTGAAGGCCAGAACGTCCGTCTGTCTTGTTGAATCTCCAGGGTCAAACATAAGTGGATGAGGCAGGGAAGAGTTCTAAGATAAAGCATAGGAAATTCAGCAGGTATATACTGGATCTGGAAGTGAAGCTGGTGATCTAATATGCTGCTGACATAGCAGCTCAGACGGAAGAGAAAAGGTAAATGGTACTTCCTGGCTCTCAGTGCAGAATAGTGCAGAGTTCTGTGGTACAGAGTATTTTACAGTAATCCTCAGGTCCCAGTCAAATTTTCATCTGAATGATTTTATTCAGCCTCATAAATTCCCAGAGAAGCTTTGCCGGACATAACCTTCTACCCATCTATTCCTACAATACTACACAGTCAGCTCTGTGCCTCTTGCATGGTTGCATATATTAAACAACCATGGGGTTAGGGCTATGGTGTATCAGAGTCAAGATCTCCAAGAGAATCAGGGCATTTCAAGTAACTGCACAGCCCACGCAATATTCCTGTGATGGGTAACTGATTGCCACAGGACATCCTAGGTCAACTTCCATTCCTGGCTACCCTGTCAGAGTGGCTTGATGGACAAGGTGGGACTGGATATTCCTTCACACTTGGCATTCGTAGATGGCAAAAATATTTGCACCAATTGGATTTTATTGAGTGAGTCCATCTCTAGCAGTGATATGTTAAAACAGAAAAAAAATCTGACTCTTCTGGTGTAAAGACACATTACAATTACCAATGGATAGAGAAATGCAGTTGCTGGTAGTCCTCGAAAGCTGCTATTTAAGGATGTCTGTAGAGATGTAACACAGGTGGTGTTTCTAGAAAACCCACCTGGAAATCCAAGGGAGAAAAAAAAATTATCTTAAATGCCTAAAATCAGATATGACCAATAGCAATTCTGCGGGCTTGGGGAACTAGTCAATTCCTGCCTAGGTTTGACAAACATTCTTGAGATGACTGAACACTGTAGTTTTACTTTTCAGCTGTGGAAGGATTTGCTCTGATACTTGTCACTGTATCTGAGTGCCTCTGTGTGCAGACACAGGGAGAACCGGTGAGCAAAGGTTTTACTGCTGCGTTGGTATGAGAAACATTCAGAAGTGACACTGTTGTTTTGTTGGCTAGCAGCTGCACAGAAAACTCTAGAAGGACATATTGGTGAGCCCCAGGTTCCAAGAGTTTCTGATCCATCCCGACATTTATGCTGACAGTATTAGCACAATTTACTTAGGCTGTGTGAGGATTTGCCCAAATCTGAGAGAAGAGTTCAGTTAGGCCTAAGAAAGTTGATGCCAAGCAGAGAAAGGACGAAGGCCATCATGCACTTGACACACAGCACCAGCATGTCCAGTTTTGTGTAGTTCAGCCCAGAATTGTTTGCCTTCATATAATTCAATGCATAAGGTATGTCACATGCCCCAAGATGAAACCAAGGCTAAAGGCTACTGTCATCACAAGCACTTTAACTTACCCATGAAGAAATACTCTGGAGACTTTTTGTCTGAAGTAAAGTCTGCCATAACCCCACCAAACCGCAGCCATAGACCAAAGGCAATGACAGCCAATCCTGCCAGCTGGAAGATAAACAGACCAGTCAATATTTTAGTAGTTGGCTGAAGAGCATCAAAGAGGTGTCACTGGAACCTTAGGCTTTTTTGAAATCCCACAGCTCAGGATTGCACTGTCAGAAAATTAGGGAGCACTTGCCAGTGTTTGGTAACTATGAATTCCTATTACACTGCAATGTACTTCTTTCTTTCAGCTCTTCAATGTAGTGGTGCTTCTGAACTTACTAGTGACTTTCAAACCTTATAAGTAAACTCATTTAGTCATCAAAATTTGGCCTGAATTTCAATGGGGAATGGAGTGTGGAGGGGGAAGGGTTGCAGAGGGGCAGGGTGTGCCCATGCGAAGAACAGACAGGCTGCAAAACCAATGAGGAACACTCTGCCCTCTTTCCTAACCCTGAGAACTGCACTGTAGTCAGACAGGATGCTGGAGGCTACTGAGGGCCTGGGTCTGCAGTCACAATGCTGCTACTGTACGAAAAGCACCTTATGGGGAAGCGTTGCGTGACCACGAGTTAAGCCCTGCTGGCTTGACACACACAAACTTCTAGGGCAGAGTTGACTTTTTTTTCCAACTTTCCTAGCTGTTTTACGGCTAAATAACAGCCTTTTGGGCTGAGAGGTGCCCCCTTCCCCTGTACCACAGGTGCAGCTCCAGTGTCACAGGATATATGATGCTGCAGACAGACCAGCTGGACCTCTAACTCTAAATCATCATACCAAATGACAGGAGACCATCTGCCACTTCAGAATTGCTGCTGCTGCTGCTGCTCAGTTGTCAGAAGGGTTCTGTTTAGAGGCTTAACAAAAAAGAGAGGCTTGTTCTTAGGGATCTGAAGTTAAGTGTGTTTGGACAGATTATGACAGGGCATTTTTCTTTAAGTCACCATGAGACCCCCTATCAGAACTAGGAGGTAAAAGGATTATTACAAGGTACAATATCTTGGATCACAGAAATGACAAACAAGTGACAGATGCTGACAAATGCAAGGAGAAATTCCCTTTAATGCAAACAAGACTAGATCAAAAAGGAGCATCAAGGTATGTTGTTTCAGGGGAAAGACCGACCACATGCCAGACGTATTTATAAGAGTACCAGGCAATGGCGTGTGTCCTGGCAGACAGCTTCAGCATCCTGCAGGACCAGGCACAATGATCATTTGGGTGGATGATCTGCTTAGGGATATGGTTTAATGGGGATTAGGGACAGTTGGACTCGATGATCTCTGAGGTCTTTTCCAACCTAGAAATCTAGGAACCTGCTACTGTTCTGATGGAGGCCCAGAGCCTAGATCTGTAGTAACTGTACAACCTGAATGAGGTTCACAAAACACCTGTTGCTTACCATATCCTTGGCAGCCTGGCATGGTGCTTTTTTTAATCTGCCCTGCATTGCCTGGCACTTGATTCATCGGGCATAGCTACAGCAAGCAAAGAAAGCAGGCAAGCATATGACTGAATAGCTTAGGATCACAGCTTTCCTCACAGGATTGTCACAGCACAGAGTGTGAGGGTCCCCTGCCACCCTGGTCGTAGCATTTGAACCTCCTGGTTTGCAGGCATGGGCTCAGCCTTCGGACTGCCAGAGCACGCTAGGAGCCCCCTCCGGTCAATCCAGGCTTCTAAGTGCCTCTGGTAGTTTGGATTTGTTGGAAATGAATGCCTCCAGTCCAGCTGAGGAGATGGTTTCTTCCATCTCAGTGAAAAGGCAGATAACAAAACACAGTAATTGTCACTTTTGTGAAACAACATAACACAAAGCTTTGTCCTTCTACTGACTTGCAGCTGCAGCTGGGCAACATCACTCCGCTCCTACAGCTTGAGCACAGCAGCACTCTGTACCCGGAGCTCGCAGTGCTGTCACCAAGAGGGAAAAGCATTTGGTTTAACTGTGTTTAAAGCATAAAGTAGACAAAAGCCCAAAACTGCTTGCTCCAGAGAGGCTGAACAGGATTATTTTGTGATTTCTTTTGAAAAAATAGTGAATTGAAACGAAAGAACACAGCATGAGGGAAAGTGAAAGAAAAAAGCTTGACTTCAATTGTGCTATGGAACTGTGAGGCTATTGAAAGGGTGCAATGAGGAGAGAATGGGCATAGCATTTTGTGAATCTTGAGGCCTCTACAGTAGACACTATTCATTGCCACTTTAGGGTAGCTTTCAGCAAAGTAAGTGCAATATAATGCAAAGACTTTCTCTTAGGATGAACTTGTGAAAGTAGCAGCCGTTGGCTGACTATTTGAAATTACATTACTAAAAAGCATAGTGATGCTGTGAAGAACTGTTCCACTGCATTATGCTGTGTGGGATGCTGGGAGAACCTCTCACAGCCTCCTGTTTTAAATTTTATGCTTATTGGGGAAATGGTCACTACTTTATCAGTTAAGAAAGATGATGTCTTTTCTCAGCAAAGTCACCTTATATCAAGTGCATCTTTTCCTAGGAAAAGCTGTGTATTGATAGAAGCGAGTAACAGGCGAGAGCACGGGTAGGGCAGCCCACCCTGCAGCCTAAACTCGGGCAGCCCATCCTGCAGCGCTCCTCGAT